GGCTGTGTTGTACCAAGGCAATTTTTATACAATATGAAACTGAGGGTATGTGTTGTGTGCCTTGGGATGTACCATGTGAGTACACATCAATGGCTGTTTGTTGTTTGCTTGTGTAGATGCACCAAAGGAGGACATTATCTGAGTACAGAATAGCACCAGATACCAGGCATGGGCTTTTCTAAAGAAATTAGACCCACAGAGAGCTGCTTGAAGTGGAGACTAGCCTTCTCCAAGCAGCAATCCCTTCAGAGGTCCCCAGTGTCACAGCGCACTGCTGCGCAGTGGCCCACAATCTGGCCCATAACCTGTATAAGTCTGAATCAACGTGACTGCTAAAACTTGAGCCAGGGAGGCTTTTTTCTTTTTCATGTGAAGGTGAACAAAAGTGCTTCATTTTGTTGAGAAACTGTAATGACATTTCTAAAAGGTATTTCCTATCCCTTGGACATTTATTAAGGCACATAGTAATGCTCATTTGTATTCAAATTGATTGAAATAGATACACATGAGGTGAAAGAATGTGACTGACAGTTTCTGCTTGAAGGAGATTTCACGGAAGGAACCTTGACTTAATCAGTTCACTCTCCCCTCCCTCTCTTCATCCTAAGCAGCCCAAGTGTGCCACCCTGCAGGGTGTATTTTAAATTCTGGCTTTGATACAAACCCAGTTTATCTGTCCAGTTGAAGAGGTTTTGTGGCTGCTGTATATCTCCTAAGATTTGCAAGCTAGCAATGTATACCACTAAATCAACCTTTGTCAGTTTTACCAGGCTTTTTGAGAGAACAACAAGAAGGATGCTATTGCTTTACTTCTTAACCTTTGGTGTTTTCAAGAGCCTTTTGTCATTCTGAAGTTGTGCCCAAATGGTTGAGGTTTAACACAGGATTTATTACTCATCTTTATTGTTTGGGTTCCATTTTGCAGTTTATTAAAGTCCATAGAGTTTGAAACAGCCACCTGTGTATAAATCAAGCTATATAAATAAACTACCTTCTACCAGAGGAACAAAATATTTAGGGTTCGTCCTCAAGGGAAAATGTTCTGATATAAGCGTGAATGTCAAATGGAAACACAGTGGCTAATGTACCTCCAGTGCTTGGATGGATGCTCTCATTCTGTGCTGAGTGCTTCCTCGTGCCTCAGCTTAGTTTGATTTCGAAGCAGAGTAAGATAAACCATAAAAAACCACCTAGGGGATATCAAGACTTTTGCTAGACTGACCTTGAGATAGCAGGAGCCAGGGACAAGGAACGGGCAGCTGTTCTGTTACAGCCTTGCCAGGTTGTTTCCTCCATATCTGCTGTTTGCACATGGTCCATTTCCCAAATATCTGCTTGTCCCTACCTGGTAGCTCTGAGTGACCCTTTCTTGCGAAGCTGATTTTCTCCTCTTGACATTTGAATACACAGGCACAGCCTGTGTCTTCTTAAACCTCCACAGTCACCAAGAGCCGGGAGCTGGAAAGCAAGGACAGAAAACCAGCAAGAAATTATATATCTGAATCATCAAGGAGAAATAGATTGGTCAGCTTCGATCTGTAAAGAATTAATTCAGTCAGCTGCAATAATGCTAATACAGCTTAGATTGGGACTTTTTGTTATGTGTCTACAGGACAAGCTTGATCTTGACCAAACCTGAGTGACATGTAGGTGACATTTTTGGCCATGTGTGAAGCTTCCTAAAAACCCCGTCAAAATAGTGGACGTGGGTTGCACATGGACTCGCCTTTATTTCCAGTTTAAACAAGACTGCACTTAAATTTTGACCCTGTGTCCTCACTAGGATTTGCTATTCTCATGCTACAGAAGCCAGAAGCTACCTGTTGAAATGGGACAAACTCTGTTCCTTTGGGGAGGGGTGCAATAAGTTCAGTCCCTGTAGAGATATGAAAAGAGAGAATTGGGCTGGAAGTTCGTTTATTCTATGCAGGTATGCCATAATGTCATTCGTGGGATCCCTGGCATCACCTGAACTGAGGTGTACACATGAAGCAGGTTACAGCTGTCAGTGCTACCAACCCATGGTACCCCCGGTATTTTCAAACTGTATACAGGCCAGTTAGACGTGGCTGTAAGGGAACGATACCTTGAGTGGACATTCAGAAAAACTTGTCCAACTAGCAGCACCTGCTACGGTTCTGCTGTGAACAGCACTTTTGGACTTGTTAAAGGAATGACAAGGAAATGTGGAAACTCCGGCTACATTTCCAGTTTTTAAAGCCAGAAATATGGATTTAGATGTCAGTCTCCAGCAGCCGCTAACAACAAAACAAAGCAAGTGGGGAATTGCTGCCCTTGTATTTCGGGTGAGCAGCTATAACTGACTTTGGCCTTTTACTTGAAAAAGCTTGCAATTACACTAAAATTTTCCCCTTTCTAGTGCTGCTGCCTCTCCTCCCATGCCTCCCAATGCAGCTGAACCGTAAGGTCTGCAGTAATGAAAGGCATCTTTTACTCTGTCAATACCATTGTTTATTTTATCTCTGCAGCTCACACTAGGTCTTTGAATGAAACGAAAAAACAGCCCTGCTGTTATCAGTACAGGGCAGAACTGAACGGGAAACTTGTGGTATTGCTCTGACTCGTGCTGTGTTTTCATGTAGCTGAAGTGTAATGCTGGGAGGCGCTGGGTGCCTTCAGTATCCCTTCCACTCATCCAAAAAAGAAAAGGAACTTCAAAGCATTCCCCATTTCCCTGGATGTGTTCGGCACCTCATATTACTCAGTCCTGTCTGGACAGCGTGGCTCCTGCAAGTGATCTCTCCCTCCATGCAGTCAGACTGACTCAAAGCTTTCTAGGCAGCAGCTTTACTTAAGTCACTGGAGGTTTCCATCAGCTTGACCAGGAGCTGCCACACACTGCATGAGTTTGCATCTCACTCTCTGGCTTCTCAAAGCCCAAGTTCAAGCATTTTTAGGGCTTGTGTGGTCTTGGAACAGAAGCAGAAAGGGTAATACCACAAGCTCTCCACCAGCTTCTGCTCCGGGCAGATAAGAATGGTACTTCTGTAAATTGGCCCAAGGCATTACCATGACTCAGTTCAAAGCTGTGCAGATAAAATAAGCTACAGTGTGGTTAGAAAAATAACGAGCAGTGCTGTTAGAAAAATAAAGAGCCTTGTAGAACCTCCAGAAGCACCAAAAGAATGGAACAATTGAAGAGAATAATAGCTTAATATTATTATTACTGTGACTGTTTTGTACTGTGCCTGGAATCCAGATACTCCTTCTAGGACTGAAGTTGTTACACTGGGCACAGGAAATGGGTGAAATGAAGAGACAACTTGTTCTTTTAAATAGCTCCCAGCTTAAGCACCGGAGTGGGAAGAAGGGAAAGGAAGGGAGGTAGAGAGAGGTACCATTGAGGTGCTGATGTTGAGAGGATGAGTTTCATGACTCATCTGTGAACCAGTAACAACATTCTTGGGCACACAGGGGACAAAGTAGGGCACAGCACCATCCTCATATCGTAACAAATTCTTCTTTAATTACTTTTTTCTTCCTTAAAAGCCAAATATAGCATCTGGGATTTCTGTTCAAAGATGCAAAGGAGACTGAAGCTCCCAATTGATGCTAACTTTCACAGAAGTCAGGCATCTAGCTCCTTTTATCCAAACAGGGCTGCATTATTGCTCCCTGCTTCACAACTCCACCTCTGCTGTCTTCATAGCACATCATCTCTTTCACTGTCTGAACATTGCTTCTCTTGGAGAGACAGCATCTGTTTGCGGGGAGGGGAGGAGAGAAATATTGGAAAAAAACCCAAAACCAACAACCAAAGAATCAGCAGCTGTTTGATTTTGCTCAGACACTAGCAGCATTTGCAGAAGTCCCTGAGGAAATGGCTGAGTGAGCTTGAATCAAGACAGAGCAGTCCAAGGAGAATGGAGTTCATCACCTGGCCCTGCCATTCATGACAGGGCAAGGACAGAGCACATGCTCCAGGGGAAGACAAGGTTTGCACAGCTGCCGTTGCCTTCAGGGCTGTGCTTTGAGAGGGCAGCCTGTAGTGGCTGGCAGAACTGTAGAGAGACCTGTGCAGTCCTGCAGTGTGAACCGTATCTCAGGATGCCTCATATTGGTGTCTCTCAGTGCTCAATTGTCTCCACCGTTCCTCCAGCCATTGCTACGGAAAGTTTTTTTTAGCATTTAGACTGTGATGACTGCGTTAATGGAGATTACAGGGAGAAAAGAAAAAGATCCAATGAAAGCTTACTCTCAAACCTACCACAAAAATGTATCTTTCCTCCTAAAATCAGTATTTCACAACCCACTCAGAAACCAGTACTCTGAACTCTTAATCCTCTTACAAAAACCAGCCCAAGACCAATCTTAAGCCATGCCAGAAAAGAAAGACACAATGTCATCTTGATCACAGTTGATAAAAGCCTTTGCCAAGGTTGCAGGAACCAAGGAGCAAGTCTGGAGATCACTACAGGGGTCCATAAGGAGTTATGGTTTTGTTGCTACCAGGTGTCATGGGACAGTTGGATGGAAGCAAATGCGTTCTATCTGTGGCCGACTTTTTTTCTGAAGGAGAGGGGCTCAGATTAGAGCAATTGCAAAATCCCATGTAATGCCAGTGCTAGTCTTCCCCTGCCCTTCTTTGCTGGGAAACTGTAAATGTGGTGGCAGCACATATGCCAGAGCCTGGCAGATCACGGCTTAGTTCATGAAACTCAACATCTGCAAGACCAACAGTTCACAAGGCATTCTTCTTAGTGTGGCCCTAGTAAAATGTCACAAGAACAGGACTAGCGTTGTGCTGCTGCTGAAATATGAGCTGCAATATTTTGCCTTCCCCTGTGTAAATTGTTTGCTTTGTGATGTTTATCAATTGTGGCTCTACCTGTTATCATTCATTTGTGTCCTATAACTGCTAATTCTTTGAGAAATGATCTGTGTATAGCCAAGAGTGTTTTGTTCATTTTTTCTTGGAGATAGGAAATGGTATTTTTTATTATTGTGTTTAACCTTTTCTTTCTCTAATCCACCTTCAGGTATCTCCATGCCTATACCCGTCTTTGGACTACAAGATAACTCCAAAGTGTTTAAGAAAGGCAGCTGCTTGCTTGCAGATGACAATTTTGTCCTAGTAGGCTCTTTTGTGGCATTCTTCATCCCTCTAACCATCATGGTGGTCACCTACTTTTTAACTATCAATTCACTGCAGAAGGAAGCTACACTATGCGTAAATGACATTGGCCCAAAGACCAAGTTTGCTTCATTTAGCTTCCTCCCTCAGAGTTCCCTGTCCTCAGAGAAACTCTTTCAGCGCTCTTTGAACAGAGACGTGGGGACTTCTGGGAGGAGAACCATGCAATCCATCAGCAATGAGCAGAAGGCTTCCAAGGTCCTTGGCATTGTCTTCTTTCTGTTTGTTGTGATGTGGTGCCCATTTTTCATCACCAATGTGATGGCCGTAATTTGCAAGGAGTCATGCAATCAAGAAATCATTGGAGAACTACTTAACGTATTTGTTTGGATTGGCTACCTTTCTTCAGCTGTCAACCCACTCGTATATACGTTGTTCAACAAGACCTACCGCTCAGCTTTCTCTCGTTACATTCAGTGCCGCTACAAGGAGGAGAAGAAACCATTCCAGCTGATTTTAGTGAACACTATCCCAGCACTTGCGTATAATTCCAGCCAGCTCCAGCTAGCACAAATGAAGAGTTTGAAAAAAGAGGCAAAAATGATGGCTAAGGATTATTCGATGGTCACGATAGGAATACATCATTTGGATGGTACCTCCAAGGGAAGTATCAGCCCAGCAAACGAAAAGGTTAGCGGTGTGTGACAGTCGGCAGCTGCCATGACAACCACCGTGCGCATGCTGAAAATTCCACCTGGCTGTGAGAAGCTCTGATAGCTTAGGAATATCAGCCTGTTCAAGAGACCCTCCAATAACATCACGTACGCCTCATATTATCCTGTGGATGAAAAGCAGGGTTGAAATGGTATCAAATGTGCAATTTTTTTTCATACTGTACTTTGTCTGTTTTAAGCACAGGCTTTATGAAACTTATTTTTTTAATATTCTAAAGGATATATTTCTTAAAAAAAAAAAAAAAAGCAATTTGGGGTATTATAACATGGGTTGTGAAGAAACATACGCATTTCTTTTCTCTTTGCAAATGAAAGCTAAGCTGTCCTTTGATGTCCTCGCAGAGCAGACTCCAGCTAGTTTGTCTTGCTACAAAGGAATTTTGTTATCATTAACTGAATGAGCACTTTATGGAATTTTAAATAAAATAACAGTTAATTTACTAATATATGTTTAAAATAAATTTTAAAACATTAAAGAATAATCTATTAAAATCTGTATAGATGAATTATATGGACATTTTGGTAATGGTGTTTTTATGGCTATTTTTTTCTTCTGAATGACCATTCTGAAATGTTACTGGGCTTTTCTGCCATTTGTTCTACAGTTCAAATTAGCAATCTTCAAAGTTAAATTACACTTGAATGATCCTTTGGTCCTACCACCATTTTTAACCTTTATTTCATGTGTTGTACTTTATTTCCATTCCAAAGTTTTCATCTGTTCTGCTTAAAAACTGAAAGTAATTTTTTCAAAAGTAATTATTGGGCGTGATTCCCTGCTCCCTCCCACTGGTGTTGACAAGGAAGTGAAGTGAGAGAAGAGTGGAAAATCAGGCACAACATTGCTAAATAATTGCAGGAACTATTCCACGTCCATGCCACTGTTTGATTCCAACAGAGTCTGATTTAAGTAATGCGAGTGGAAATTTTGCATGAGTAAATCCTTCAGTAAAAGGCTGCAGAGATCCTCGCTCACCATTTCTCTTTGGCTAAAAAGGCCATTATGAAGGTGTCCTTTTGGTTTTGTTTTAGGGCTGGTAGAGCCAGAATTATTAGAAAACCGTTACTTGTTCAAAATTGTTTTCCCTGGTTTCGCTGTTTTGCTGTTGTAGATTGCTCAGGAACCGTAGGTAGCTTGCACTATTAGGATTCAGCCTTAATGAAAAACGTATGGGCAAATGGGGCCCACCTGAAAAATAACAAGACTTACAAGCAGCACCGTATTTCACCTGCATAGCTCCAAGGGCAGAATACATTACATAAAGAACATCAAATACGTTGCTTGATAGAAATGCCTAGTCATGAAACTGTTTCCTTTCGAACATCATAGACAATGTCTGAAGCCAGGGGGACTCTGCTGGAGAGCAGAAATATAAACGCTGCATCCACCTACAAAACCTAAATCCAAGCATTTGATTCGTTCCATGAATTTTGCAGCCATAATCATCATCAGCAGGATGTATTCCAGGTTCAGATTCTGTCCACTCTAAAAAAAAACCACCACCCACCCAGGAGCTGAACTCCAATGCCTTCATCAGTCCTTCTCTTGAACTTGTTAATTTTTCACAGGCCAATTAAATTTCCTCTAAAGTAAAGAAAGAGAGAGACAGAGAAACTGAATCTGATTCTAGCCTACCTGCTGGGGGTCTTTGGAAGAGGTAGTTTTCTAGGTTAAAATACTGATCTGCGGTAGAAGAGGACTTAAAATTTGGCTGAGTACTTGGCTGATTTTCAAGAAACTGCTTTTATTGCTCTCTTGCCATTATGATAATTAAATCTGCCAGTTTTATGAGCCGTTTCCTCCAATGTGGGGTAGGTCAGAGCCACCGTGCACATGTCACACAGGAGCTCTGCGTGCACATGGTGACACTGGCTCACTCCACAGCCCTTGGCCTCCATACCTGGGTCAAAGTGTCATGCTATAGCCCTGTTGCTGTGATGCCATACATGTCATCCATCAGCTCACGGCCATTAATGTTTTTCTCCCCAAAACTGGGAATTTAGGATCACCTGATAAATCAAGTGGTATAAATGCTGTGCTCACCAAGGTGGTTTATATGGTCTTTCTAGCTCTGGGTACACTTGATCACAACAACCAAACTGAACAGTTTCAGCAGAAGGAAAAATGAACTTGCTGCTCCTGCCTCCTTACGCACACCCTGCTCCCAGAGAGCGCCATGTGGGGGGTGCCACACAGGCACAGAGGGGATTTCAGGGGGAATCTGCTAAATGCAGCTGAGCATGAGGACCACCGTAATAGCAGGGGGGAGCAGTGATTTCCCACTGTTTCCTGATGAATTTGATATAGACCCTAAATCAGGGTCTTTGAGTGAAGGACAGTGGCCAGCTTGTATCACCTAAGGACAGCCAGGCAGGGGATGGAGCACTGATGGAGCACAAGTGGTCCAGGGCATCTCACAAAACAGGGTATTCAGGTACCTCCTGGTGTCCAGATGTCTCCACTCCACAACTGGAGTGATGGTTTTGAGGATTCACCCTTGGGAATGGGCACCCCAGGGAAGACGTAGGCAGTAATAAAACCAAAGGTCTTTCACAAGTAGAAGTCTGCGGCTCAGGATCTGCCACCAAACCAGATTGCCTTCATATGACGAATACTGACACAGGATTGAAGTTGTCTAACCCTGTGTGTGAAGGGAAAGGAAACACAGATGCTTCTACCAGTGGAGGGAATTGCCACGTTTTGTGCAATTTGCGCCAATCTAGATGCAAGTCTCCGTCCTTGCAAGAGAAAGAAGCAGACGAGACAGGCAGCTCAGCTCTTTTGCCCATTCGTGCCAGGGAGCACAGCCTGCCTGCGTATTGTACGATGTAGATGGCACCCTCTACTTCTCTGAAGCTCATTTCCTCCCAAAACTCCTGAGGGTCTGGTTGCTGGTCTGCACACTCTCCTTCACCAGCTTGTGCTTGATAAACTGTTACTGAGCATTGAACGTTCTCTGCTCATGCTCTCCACTTACTGTCTGCATTTCGCCCACATGGCTGAGCAGATCAGGCCTTTTTTTTTCGTTTCTCTTTCATTTCACCTTCTGTTCCTCTTTCACAATGTCAAATTGCTCAGGTTGCAAATACTGACGAGGAATGTTTCACTACAAACAGAGAGGGTTTAAATTACTTGCTTGATGTTTCATTACAAGATGACTCTGAACAATAATTTTTTTCCAGCTTATAAAAATAAAACCTATGTTTTGGACCTAAGAGACTTGACAGCATTTCTTTAATTGACAGCTGGAGGTAATATAACACTTATTTTTTGCTTAGAAGCAGGGATATCTGATGCATCATATTTCAATTCTGCAAGCACTCAGACAAGTGGTTTTATTGAGTGATCAGCAGCTTTTGCCTAAGAAGCCTCTCAAAGAGGCAAGAATGCGCAGCAGATAAAGACCAATATCTCCAGCTCTTTATGGGCATCTTTGACAGTTTAGTGAGGCCTGATTCTGCCACCTTGCATCAAAATGTTAATAGATTTTTGTGTGATTTGCCTTAGTGAGGATGACAGAGTCAGTGTCTGAACTTGTTCTACCCACCATGCCAGATTTGCGGGAGGTTGTTCATCAGTAGACAGCAATTAATAGAGTCATTATACTGGAGACAGATGACAACGTTCAGCTGTTTTAAACCAGAATTTATAGCACTGGGCCCATTCTTGGGATGAACACTACAGTTTAGTATGACCAGCTTCAGAGCAACAGATCCGTCTTGCAAAAAAATGTGAGTGTTTTCATTATGCATCAGACTGGAATAGAAAGTTTTGTGGTTTTCCAGGCAAAAAAAAAAAAAAAAGAAGACATTCACAAGACTAGCTCAGAAGTTAGGGCCTTCCCTTACCTTACAGGAAAAGCATGCTGAGTCAGTCTGTCATATCTGCATCCGAAAAACCCGCTTTGCCTGAAAAAATGTTTTAATCAAAAATTTTTCGAGTAGATCAACATTTTATTACTATTAAGACTGCATCTGAAAAACGTCCAAAGACATGAAGCTCACCATGTATCTCCTAAGCTGGTGTGCATCCTTTATACACTTCAGGGTAAAAAGTCCTATGTATCTATCCCATCCAGCCAACCATGCACTGTACTTATGTAATTATTGCCAGACAGTGAGATGCATTCTATTTTGAATACCTATATGTTTGCTTATGTAAATACACAGAGAAAAACATTTGCTGTATTTTGTAATGTTAATGTAAAATGGTGTTCCAATGCTTTATTGTTTTGTCAGATCCCACTGCTCGTAAAGCAGATTAAAATATTTAAATGCCATCAGTTGTTTTATAAACTGGAGGTTTGTCTTAAGTAGTTATTCTGGTTTGGTTTAATTTCTCCCATACATATTCACAGTACAATGTCTGCTGAAGGCTGAAGTAACTTTAAATATCTTGCTGGACAAAGAGAAAGAGCATGTTGCAGAATTTAGCTATCTCAGTAAACTGGTCCAAAATGAGCCATTGCAATGATTCTCTTTTTCTAAGGACAGCCATTATTCTACTGAAAAGGTATACTCTGCACATACAGCTTAAAACATTTCAGTCTCAGAAACAACGTACTTGCAATAGTAACAAGCAATTAAATTAATTTCACTACGAAGTAGCACTATAGTATTAAAATTAATAAGCAGCATAAATAAACAGCATTGCACAGTTGCACAGACAGAAATAACACCCAAGTCACAAAGCCACAGTGCCATCTATTGGTAGTATTTCCTTTCACAAAGAGTATTCTAGTAAGAAACCAAAATGGATTTTGTTACATTCTTGTTTCCTCCATCTTAAAACCAAAAGACATTTATTCCTCCAACTGATCTTATGGCATACACACTCTTATTTACAATTGTGATGCATATTGAAGTAGTATGGCTGTTAATAAGAATTCCCCTCAAAACCTTGCTGCAATAAGGTTTCATCAAGCTTTATAACGTGTAGAGGAAAGCACACAAAGGCATATTTTTCAGGAGTTATCAAACGAAGAGAAACAGACTGTTTTAGCTACAAACCCATGTGGCACCACAGGGTGAAATGTG